CCTCTGGGCCCCTGTGGACAGCGGATCCCTGGCCATCGCCCTGGGCCCCTGTGGACAGCGGATCCCTGGACACCCCCCAAGTATAGAACTAGAGCCGGTAGCTGGAGTGGGGGGAAGGTAGCCCTGCCTGAGCTCGCTTGCCAACGGTGAGGCCCCTGACACGAGGCAGCCATGCCCTGCAGTGCTGAGCCCCCTGCACACGTGTGCCCTCAGTGACCAATGAGTACTTGCCTGTCCAGACACATCACCAACCCCGCTGGGGCTCTCCTCTCCTGGGCTGACTGCACTGACCATGCTTCAGTGCCAAACCAGGCACCTGCCTGAGCCACCAGTGGAGCCTGTCGGACCCCACACCAAGTGTCCTGAGAAGAGGGTAGGAGTCTGGTCCCCCAAAGCCTCCTGGCCTAGGCAGTAGGCCCTCAGCTATAACAGCAGTGGCTCACCCACCTTCTTCTTCAGAGGGGTCTGCATCTTGGGGGACCTTCCTGCCCACAAACTCTCCACAGGTCACCTGAACACATATGTGTCTGTGCTCTAGAGAAGGTTGTCGCTCACCAGTGGGTGTGTTGGAGAAGAGGAAGAACCTAGTGTGTTTTCCATGTGGGGCTCATTTTCCCAGAGAAAGGGTCCTGGAAGGGCCTGATGAGATGAACAGAGCCGGAAGGAGGCTCGTCACCCTGGACGTAAGGGCCGAGATTAGGAGGGGACCTGGGAAAAAATACACCCAGGTGAGACCGAGAGTCTGGTACTATCCAAGGTCTGGCCCAGAAAGCACAGGCCCAGAGGGGTTGGCTGGACCGTCCCAGGCGAAGACGCCAGAATAAACAGGTGCTTCAGCCTCCTGCACTCCCAGAGGGGCTGAGAGTTGGTAAACGGGGACATGGCTCCAGCCCAAGGTGAGGAGCCCATGTCCCCCGTGTCCCAGAGATGCACCAAGGTCTGCTCCATGTCTGAGAATTAACTAAAGAGAATGCCGAAGTCCCCTCAACCTGGGTGATCTGCCAACCTGTGGAGAAGAGTGGCTCCCAAACCTCGTCTCCCACTAGAACCGTGCAGGAAGCTTTCAAAAAAATATCGATGGTCAGAAGATTCTGGTTTCGGACATGATGGAGTCGTTGGCCAAGACCCACCTATGCAATGAGCAACTCTAGGAGTTAACAAGATCAACCAGACAAGGCAGGTGCCAGAGCCGGGGGCAGGTGAGGAGAGCCCTCCCTGATTCCCCAGAGGCATCCTCTCTGCCTCTCTCCTGGGAACAGAGCCAAGCAGAAAAGAGAAGCTTCTTGGGACAGGAAACCCAGACCCGCTGCTGGGACCCAGATCATCGGGTACTGGGGACAAGGAGGTGGCAGGAAAGTAGCTCCAACAGCTGAGTAGACTTTCCCTGAGACCCATGGTCAATTCTAGGCTTGCACGTGTCAGGCAAGACCCCTGGGGGCCTTGTAGAAACCCTTCCTGACAGGGCAGGGGATGTAGCTCAGTTGGTAGAGTGCTTGCCTTGCATGCATAAGGCCCTGGGTTCAACCCCCAGCACCGCCAAAAAAGAAAAAGAAAGAAAGAAAACACTTTCTGAGAGAAATGTCAGGGGTGGCATGGTGCTGGGGAGACTTAACTCAATCCCGGACCCAGTTGGAGACCTGGTGAGCATCCAGGCCTTCAGCAGAGACCCTGAGAGGCCACGCTGCAAAGCCAGGACAATGTCCTGTGATACGAACTCTGCTGTGAGAGAAGACAGGGCTGACATGGATCTACCCTAACACCACAAAGCCTCCGCCAAACCTCACAAGATCCAAGTACTCTGCTGCTGATCTAACCATCTGCCAGGACATAGCTCAACGTTCTTTGGAAAATGACCATAGACCCTACCACACATCACCCACAGTGTCAAAACACAACAGAAAATTACAAGACTGGTGAAGAGTCATGAAAAAGCAACCAACAACGGATATAAAACAGTCAATAGAAGCAGACCAGAGATAACCAGAGTTCTCCAATTAGAACTTAGAAATAATTGTGATTAGCGGAAGTAGACCCAAGGATGGCTGGAATATTGGTCAGCAAATAAGAACTTTAAAATTCATTGTGGGCGGTACACTAAAAATAATCAATATGACCAGACATTAAAAGATCTTTCTCATAGAGGAAGAAAACGGATAAAGACAGTAATTCAAATAAGAATTAGAATCTATCAAAAATAATTAAACAGACAACAAAATTCAAACATCTCATTTCTAAAATTAAAAATTAATTTCTAAGGTTTAAAAGTAGGCTGGACACAGTAGAATCATAAACCAAAAATAAAACAATAGAAAATATCCAAGAGACCCAGAAGGAACAAACAGAAAACTTAAGAAGAATCGAGTTC